CGATTTCCCTGATGATCTGGCCTCCAGCGAATTGGGCTTGGTTCCCTTGCCTAGATTGGCCTCGGTTTCTCGATTCTCTTCTGCGAGGAAATTGTTCCTGGTGACCTCTTCCTCCCCTCCTCGGGGAGGTGGATCTGCGGAGGTGCTCGTTTCTGCTGGAAGTGTGGGGGTTGCTTCGATCAGGGCGCCGATTAGCATCACGACACTCGCTGGTGTCATGCCCGTATAGTTGATGGAAAGTACAAAATCTTGCTCTTGCCAAGGGCCTGTTTGGCCTCTTTTTCTTCTTCTTCTTCTTGTCAGTTCTTCCAGATGGTCCTGCCTCAGCGGGTGCGTTATCATATGCCAACACCGGTACTGCGTTCAATGTGGCGGAAGCTAGGGCCTGTCCGGATGTGGGAGCTATGGTATGCCCTGCTTGGGTCCATTGCTGAGTAACAAGGTGCGCTGCGGGGCCTCGACCTACCTGCCTCTATGGGGGAGGGAGTCCCTGCGTGACACGGTTGCGTTGATCAATCATTTCTTCACTAACAATTTCCACTCTCATCATCTCCACCAGCTCGTCGTATGTGGAGGGATTTTTGCTACGCACGTCCCTCCAAAACAAAGTGTTCATGTTGAGACCACCTTTCAGGGCTGAAAGGGCTTCCCTGTCAGTGACCTGCTCGCAGTAAGTAATTTCATCTGTAAACTTGGCGAGATAGCTTTTCAGCGTCTCTCCAGGGGCCTGCCTCATGTCTTGCAGGCGTTGAATTGGTGCCTCTCCTTCCCTGCGTGAGAGGTACTGGTTCAAAAATGCTTTCTTCAAGTCTGGCCAACTTCTGATGTTTAGGGGAGGAAGCCTGCTGTACCACACCTCGACGGCTCCGCCTAGTGTTAAATGGAAGGCTCTGCACTTTAGAGCAGGTGAGGCTCCCCTAAGACTCATTTGTGTCATATACTTTGTGAGGTGCTTCTCCGGATCCCCTCTTCCCTCATACTTGGGGATCTTAGGGGGCATGAAGTTAGTTAGCATTGGGAAGCTTCGAATTTCCCTTGAGAAAGAGAGGTTATCGTCGTCGTTGTCAACCTCATAAGATCGACAGGGCCTCTCTGATCCTTCATCATCTTGGATGTCTTGGGGTGGAGAAGGTGCTTCTCCCCGGCTCCCCCAATCGACTAAATTTCTCCTCTCCCTCCTATTTCTAGGAGGAGGGGGAACGTGCTCTTCTTCGGGGTCTGACCGGACCGACCCTCTTGCCTGGCGGACCCTATTGCTAGGATCGTTTCCTATCCAGTCGAAGACGCTCACTGACCTCTGGTCATCGTGTTCTTGAGGAAAGTTGTCCCCCAAGAGTGGTTCTGATGGATGACTCTCTTGCACATAAGATGTCGCTTCGGTGTTCCCCTCTCTTTCGAGAGGACGTTCTATGTGCCGGCTCATGTGGCCTCGAGAGTGAGACAAAGGGATTTCCTGTACCGGATAAGATCCTTGGGGCCTCTGGTGTCCCTGGGCTTGCATGAGAAGTTCCCTCATTGCCATATTCTGAGCTGCTATGTCTCTCATACCCGCAGCTATCTGGGCCATTCCTTCAGTGAGTATGGCTGTTCTTTCGCCTCGTCGATGCCAGTGATGCGGTTTCTGATGAGTAACATTGTTATGGAGTACCTCTTCTTCAGAGGCCTCTCTCATGGGATTGTCTTCACGGCTGTAGCTCATCCTACCTCTTTTTTCAAGGGTAGTAAGAACTTGGATTGTAATTCGACTTTGTTCTTTTTCAAGAATGCCCCCTTTTCAGGGTCAGTCGTCGATTTTCCGGTGTCTTCTCTGATGGGGAACGCAAAACTTCAAATGGGGAGTGAGTTTCCCACAGACGGCGCCAAACTGTTGACCTCCAAAAATGGCTCCTCCACGTGGCCAACTTATAGCTACTCTACGTATTCCTCCCTGCGAAATGAACAAACTGTCAGGTGCACACGGCCGGAACCGATGGGGGTGGTGGCGGTCGTATACACTCCGACGGTCAAGTCAGGTTTGAGTGGTCGGAACAGTACCTAGGGGCTACACAAATCAATCAATAAAGGGGGAGGAGAATATATAAACTTGTTATGGAATGCTATGTATTGAGAGTTTCATTCTTTCTTTTTTCTTTTTGCCTCTTGCCAAACCTTGGGTATTTATAGGTGGTATGAACCGCTGGATGTGGAACGCGTGTGTACATATGACGGTATGAAGCGTCTGCTCATAGGCGTCAATCAGCCGCGCTTGTAGAGTGGGCGGACAGTTTGTTTTCCCCAAGTTGAATTGACATAAAGTTGATAAGTCACATCAAATAGCCTCATGGAGACGTCAAATCAATTTAAGCCTTAGGTGCAGGACAAATCTTAAATTGGCGACGGATCTTCTAACCGGGGTCCACTTGATCTCGACCTCGGAGGTGAGATGCTTCGACAGATCAGTAGTAGGAATCGATATATCACTTCGGAGAAGCTTCGGGAGGGTTGTTTTCAGGTCGGAGTAAATGGTGCTGCGTAGGGTCTACTTGATCTCGGCCTTGGTGGTGAGATGGCACTTCGGTATCGAGGTGCGAATAATCGAGGCGTAACACATCCGTCTCCCTCCCTACCTTCGGCCGGCCTCACACTACAAATTGAGGGCCCAACCCTTAAAACCATTCAATTAGCAACCCCCTAGGTTGAAACCTTAACGCTTCAGTCCCCCCCCCGAGCTTTGTAAGGAAGGTAAATTGCGAAATGTGCCCCCAACAAGTTAGGAAACAAGTAGAGCCTTTCTTGAAAAAAAAAAGGTTGAACCCCAACCTTAAGGGCCTCCCACCGCCCCTGTCCTGAAGTATCGTGAGGGAGGTAAATCGCAGGTTATGCATCCAAGGGTACAGGATGGAAGACTGCTTATACACTTGCACTTACCAAGAGCCAAATCCATAATTCAAGATTCGAACCCTTGACGCAGCAGCCTCGAGCAAAGCTGGATTTCTCCGTCCTCCCATTTTCAAGTAGAGCCTTTCTAATCCATATGTCTGGGATGTAAGTTGAAAAAACAGCGGTTCATTGTGTCCATTTTTGGGGTTGAAAATGTGATAGCATTAGGGTGTATGGGGTTGGGTACACCTAATATTTAAATGAATAATTTTATCATTTAATTATTGAAATGGAAAATTGAAAAAAGTTGTGGATGTAATTTCCTCTAACGTAATATTTGGACAAAATGGTAATAATAGACCAGGTGTTTGTTAGTCGAAGGTTAAATATAAAAATTTGACAAAATGTTGATATATACGCGAAAATGAGCAAAATTTAAGTACTTTCATTACAATAAAATTCTATAGTTTTGTTGACAAAAATGGCGTGTGATTATAATTCTTTTTTTCAATTTAAACATTCTTCTGTTCAGACAAAAATGTCCTCGACTCCGAGCTTATCCATTAACAATTTTTTAGTCAAAAGAAATCAATAGTACGACTTTGGTATCTCACGTACATCTCTCCTTAATTTGGAGTTGTTTGAACCCCATTTTTTTTCAAAAAATATATTTTAAAATAGTACAATGATGAAGAATGTGAGATTAAAAAATAAAGAAAAATTTTGAGTTTACGTATAATATTATTTTATTGAAAAATGAGTAGTTGAAATGGTGTCAAATTACTATTTAAAAAATGTATTTTGATGAAAAAAGAGGCTCAAACAATCTCACTTTAAGGGAGAATGGAAAATCTGTTTGTACTGAATTTATCCCACAGAACAAATATTGAAAAAATATACCCACTCACCCACCCCATATATTGTGCGTGGTCTGTAATTTGTCTGGCAAAATACTTTCTATACATGTAGTACAACTCAAGGGAGAATAGTCATAAATCACACGAATTTTATCTAGTGTCCCACAATCAATTGAATAAGCAAAGATTATCTGGGATAGAACTTCAATGTGGATAAACAAACATCACCCAAGGCTCAACCAGGTGACAACGCTAACAAACTAGTTACACAACAAAACTCCGCCAAAACGAAGGTCCTCGCAACAAAACTTGATCATCTCAACTCTGCAAAATCCCCACCACTTCCCTAAACGAAGAGCACAGCGGAAAGAAAGAAATTGGAAAACACACTATATATTCCTTGAACAAGACCAGATCAGAAAAGGCTGAGAATTAATTAGCCGACCAAAAAGAAACCGGCACCTATGCCACCACGCTTGCTCAAGCTTCTTGATCAAATGCTCAGCCAAGAGACTTGTGATATTTCATGATGAAAGGAAGAACTTTGAAAATTTACACCCGCCATGGTGGTGTAATTAATCACAGTATCAGCAGGAAGAAGGATATCGATTATTAAATATTTTATCAACTTATACCATGCATAGCATCATTTACAGCCATACCTCCCCGCCCATGATGAGCAACCAAATCGTATTTGCGTGAAAGCAACCCTGCTGTGTTCATGGAAATAGATGTACCAATTAGACGTGAACACTGGAGCTAATACATTCGGTTAAATTTGATGAGGCAACTGTTAAAACCTTTTGATCAACAAAATCCGGCCATTACAACTGGTCAATGTCGTGCATTCATCAATGTATGACAATAGATTTGTATATCATTAAGTTATTATCTGAAAACCAAGCTGCCGTTTTGTTGGAGTCTCAACTTTTCAACGAGTGACTGGTAGAAGGATTTCAGTACCTTGATATCGTTACCCTGACAACAGAAATACATTAGAAAGATAACCGAGGCAACATAAGACACATCAACATAGATACAGAAACTAGTTCCAGAAGTTTATCACCAGGACCACCCCTAGTCATCCCCACCCCACCACCCACCATCGTAAACAAAGTAGTAAAAAGAAAATGAAGGAAAGGCGGAGGGAGAAAAGCTTAAAACTTGTATTCTAGGAATTATGCATATTCTCCTGATGAAAATTGACAACATTTTACAAAGTTCCATTACTTCTATCTCATTTCAACAAGTTTTGGGTCCATCAATAACAGCTAATGACTTGAATCAGTTGCTAAAGGCAAACCAAAGCATATTTATCCAGAAAATATGTAGCCAAGCAAGCACATATCAATTCCCAGTTTTAAATAACTGTTATAAAAAGCTAAGTGTAACACCTGCAATATTTGACAATATTGCTCTGCCAAGTCTTGAGGGCAATGCACATTTGGAAAACCTTGTGATACAAAATGATGAAGAAAATCATTGCCAAAGTTCTCATACATGACCTTTTGAGCCAAAACTATTTCGCCAAACAAGACAAGCTGCCAAAGGAAGTCCCAACAAACAATGGAAAACTAAGTTAGGCAGGAATATAAAAGAATACAAATATCAGCAAAAAGCAACCAATTCAAGAACAATATAATTTCTTCAACATACTAGGAAAATGGTATTTCCACTTCCAAGTTCATTTAATAAAAAATAATGCCATTTATTTATTCTCCATGTGAGTACATGCATTGGACAATGCGGCAAAAAATGACCCGTTGGATCTATATAACAGAAGCACTATGCATGTTGATCGATTCGCGGGGCTCAGGAAATACATGTGGCACAAAGTCAAATCTAACAATGCAATAATGTTTCTTTTGACTAAATGAAGCAACAGTTCATGGAAAATCCCACTTTGTAAACAACTAAGACCTCAGATAGCATTCAGGAAAGATTTTAATTTCAGACACCGAAGTAATAAAGAAAAAAATATTTTTAGATATCTGTAGATCATGCAAAATAGACTAACTGCTCTACTACATTCATCTATTTTAAAAAGAGATCTTGTTTATCCTCCCTTTATAATAACATTGATTATGATGCAATATATGAGCATGCACTCATGGAATGCGATTATAAAATGGTTTTCAAATGAAACTTGTTTAGATCTTGATATTATCAACTTACAGTATTTGTGTCCCGAAACTCAAACGACTTGTCAAGCACACTGTACAGACAACAATTTGTGGCAAATGCCTCAACTATAAAACTCTGGAAACCAGGTACCTGCAAAATAGTCTCTCCTTAGTATCCTGTGAAATATTATTGCAGAAATGGTATTTTGAGAGTAAGATACCTTTTCTTCACCACAAGGCCTACCACACCAGTCTTTAATTAGCCTGATGAATATCTGCACGCATGACTGGATGACAAATTGAGAATTCAACTCAATCTTAAATAAACTGGTAATTTAACAGATTCCAAAGCACAATAACAGTTGTAAGTATTTCCACAATATGAGAAAGTTCCACAGCACAGACCTTTCTTACTGGGATATCCTTAGAAATTAACTCAATCTTAAATAAACTGTTAATTTAACAGATTCCAAAGCACAATGACAGTTGCAAGTATTTCCACAAAATGAGAAAGTTCCACAGCACACACACCTTTCTTACAGGGATGTCCTTGTGCTTACAAGATGTATATAACAGCAACTGCATCATTGACTCCAAGTAGCCCCTACTTTTCGGTAAAAGAAAAACCAATGATAGATCATGTGTAGTAATCACATGCAAAAACGTATAAAATGTTCGCTGAAGCTCCTGCAACTCGCGGATTTCCTGACAAATAAGGCATAACTTGCAACTAAAGCAGCTGAGGAAGCCTTAGCACCAAAGAATAGTGACAAGTTCAAAAGAATAGGCATCACAAACCAACAGGTTCACATACCTCAGTATTGCCACCAGGTCCTGACTGAATTTCATTCCTTGGAAGAATATTGAACACCCTACTTGCAATAATAGGGTACACTCCCTCCAAAATGTCCCGGACTCCAGCACTGAATTTGCAGATGAGTTGATTAAGAAGTACCAGAAAATCCACCAGTTCCTTTGGCTGCAAGTATGGCATTACCAAAATTAAAATCCTCAAAATTACAGTAGACTACAGTAAAAGTAGGCCACGCGAGTATTTGATCAGCAAAGACAAAACATATCCAATTTTAAACCCAGCAAACAAAAGAAAAAGCTCCAACATGATGAGCATGATACAGAACATGGAACGATATTGTTAGCAAGTGGAGAATATGGAACCTCGTATAAGTCATTATATGCAGCACGGAACATAAGCATATATTAGTCTTGATGAAATAACCAAGCACAAATAGACATCATAGTCCATTTGCTACGGTAGCTAGATATTTTACTAAAATCTTATGGCAGTTGCGAATATAACATTACTACGATCATAAAAGAAACATAATAAACACACAATTAAGAATAATAGCTTTTTTTTTTTTTTTACAAGCATAATAGAAGGATTGTGGAAGTCTAGATCAAAACAGCAAAAACAACTTTCAGGCCATCAATACTGCAAACCACATAATATAAATAGGAAGACAAATATATACACCTGACTTTCTGGTAGCAACTGCTCCAATGCCTTCGGAAGATATGGAAATACAGATGCTCCTAAAGTGTTCACCATACTGTGAATAAATGAAGTGACCTAGCAAAGGAGGTTTTATTAGCCAAAGAGTTTTCAATATGACATTAAAGAAAGGAACTCTAATACATACCTTACACCGCAGTGGTTCTATCTTCGGAAAGACAACAAGTATTTGCAAGAGAAAATCCAAAGTCTGCATCAAAGAAAAATTCAGGAAAACGTCATAGTAAAGGGGGAAAACGAACATCTCTACTATTGAGAATCAACAAGAATCCACTCCAATCAAACCATAATATTTTGTGTATATACTGTCACCAATGTGCAGAGTAGGCATGATAAATGAATCAAAAAGAATCTACTCCAATCAACCCATAATACTTTGTATATATACTGTCACCAATTTGTAGAGTAGCCATGATAAATGAATATTTCACACTCATCTTTTCTGCAGAGAAGAAGAATAATGTCATATGAACTACCAGATAGAAGTACAAGATGTAGGAGTATTGGGCCAGTCAGGAAAAGAAACATCGAGAGAAACTTTCATATGCGATAATAAGAGAATAAATAATTGTACATAACACACTCAGTTAAAAGTACTACATAAATTTACAAAATCACAAGTATTGATGCTAAATGACGGGTAAAACCACTTCAGATCAGAGAAAATGGATCACAATTCACCTACCTGTTTGAACATGAGACCAATGGAAGGGCGACTAGCAGTTGCAAGACGCTCGCTGAACCCCTAAATTACACAAATGCTATATTGATTAGAGTAAACATGATGAAGTTAAAATAGTTATCTGAGGCAGACTCAAACCACTAAGAACAGCGTTAAGTATTTTAATATATATAATACGCATCAACTGTTGGTGACAAAATACCACATTTTTTCCATTTTATATGTACACAGATAGGGTTAATTTCATTTCTTACATCACCTACAAAAAAAAAAGGTAACATATGAAATATTCCCAAATGAAAAACAGAATATTAAACCAACTAGGATAAACAACACGACATAAGAAACTTGAAATGTTAAGAAAAACCTTGCTTAGAGCATTAATGGCCATAATAATTTGCTTGATATCTGCAATTTGTGCAGGAGACCCTCCAGGGTTATGAGCTTTGGCATTTGATAGGGCCACCTCAACCTGCAAAAGTTTGCTTAATTTAAATTCACTATAAAATAACATGAAAAGGTTAGAGCAATGTGCTACTCCTGAATCAGGTAAATACAAATAACCAAGCATCAGATCAAAAAATTTACAAACAATGCATAATTTAATACACATAATTCATAACATGCAATCAAACTTGACCTGCTGACAAAGAGGAGAGAGCAATGAAGAAAGGTAATCAGACTGCTTGTCTGGTGGTACATCTTCCATCCCAATTAACAAGCCAATTGCCTGCAATGTAAAAACAATCAAAGCATGGGTCAAATTAAATAATTTACATATTGCGAGGAGTCAACTTCAACAATCTACATCTGCAAATATACATGAAATTAAACATTTACCTCAAAAATGTGACTCCCATCTTCTTCATTTGATGCAGTGTCCATTCTCGTGAACTCTGCAACTTTATCTTGCAGATGCTGGAGTTCCATATAAAAATGCAAGTTATTAAAGAGAAAGCATTAAAGTTATAGGCGTGGATCAACATGCCAAGCATAGTTACCATAATTAACACCATCATTAACATCAATATGGATAATCTAATACCTGCAAGATAATCTCTACATAAGGCACGAGCTTTGGTTTGAGCAATTTCACGAACCTTGTGAAAAGATGACTTGCCCTTCTCCTCACATTGACATTGGAATGGTGCACACCTCTTTCATCAAGAAAGGCACCTAGTGCCATTGGGATATATTGAGTATTATCCAGAAAGAACTTCATATATCTTGTTATTGTTTCCAAATACACAAGCGCAACAAGCCTGTTGGAATGACAAGGAAATCTCGTCAATAGAAGCATGGGGACCAATTCTCCCAGCAGACCAGTGCGATTCCTCGCTGCATCATCTTGTAATGATTCGCCAAGAGCATAAAATAAAGAAAGTGCAGCTTCAACTTCTTCAACGTTTCTCTTCTCTGATGATGTAACAGCACTAGATAACGAGTTCCTGATAAAATTATGAGTCACATCAGGAGCTACACGACCTACATTGCGGAGCAGTACAAATAAATCCTTCCGGAACTCCACCATCCTATCTTCTTCTTCCCTACCAATCTTGTCCAGCATATCAAGATTGCTGCGGTAGAGAGGATCAAATTGAATCTGTACGCGGATCACTTCCAATATCTGGTCCAAGTGAAGCAACTGCATCTCCGTCAATGGAGAAAGGCTCTTCATCGTGCCAACATAACCTGAAAGAAACTGCACAATGCTGAATGCTGAATCAACTTCACAGTTCTTCATAACATAAAACACTGAGGGCAGAACTTCATTCAAGAGCTCCAACGAGACCCCCTTGCCATCCTCTGAGTTCAAACGCTTGGAACATTCCAAAACTTCATTGGCATACCCTGTGACCAAGGAAGCCACACTAGAAACCAACTCGGAGTCACTATCCCCCATGACCAATGCAAAAACTCTGCTTATTTGCAAGCTCTGCAGAATGGTAAGCTTGGACTTGTAATCCATTCCTTTTGTCACAACCGCAAGAATAACAATGGCAGCAGCACCACGAAGCTGATCCGGTAAAACATCCATCAGCATCAACTCGAACAACATTTGAATATATGCATCATTGACAATCAACCCAATGTCAATCCATGAAATGTACCTCCTCATCGAATCCAAAACACTAGTACATAACTCTGGGTTAGAATTCTTGTACATCAATATAATGTCATACCAAGCTCTAACAATCTGAGGCACACACTGAGCCCTCATTGCATCCTTAATCCTACCAGCCACAGCTACCTCATCCCCACTCCGTGGATAGTCCAAGCTGATTAATTCATCATCCAATGCATTCAAAACCCGACAAAACATATCAATGACCACCGCATCTTTACTTAAATTTGGCAGGAAATCCATAAATACTGATGGCCAGATTAAGGGGTACTCAAAGTAAATTAAAAACACAACAATCTGAGCAAGCTTATTTTTTAGAAACGCCGGGCCATCCAAAACCTTAACCGAGCTGTTACCATTGACATCAACAGCTTCATAACAAGCTATCGAAAATACAGATTTTCTAATATATGACTTCTCGTCCGGAGTCATTGACAGGTACTTAACAAGAAGGGCCTCGTGAAGACATTGTAAGCACCAGAACTGGACTTGAGCTAGCTTACAGAAAGATAATTTCTCTATACATATCCTACAGATTGATGGGTTCTCTTTAATTTGCTGAACATAAGCCACGGCCTGTGATTTCAGTACTGAATCGAATGTCACGGATTCGTCAAAGCTGATCAAAATCGCCTTTTCGAGATCATCCATACCTCGTAAACCTCTAAACCCTTGAAATAAACAACCTATCCCCTAATTACACACTGCGAAGAATTTGGATAAGAGATTCTAAATATTATTGCCTTTTCTATATGTATAATGAAATTGATTGAATGAAGAGTTGATTGAGGGATTACCTGAAGAAATAAAAGAATTGAATAGAGAGATTTGACGACAGAACTGGGTTTTTGGAGTTCTAAGGAACGAAGGTTTTTCAGTAGCTCATCTCTCCTATGGGCACTTTTAAATTTGATCTTGAGACAAAACTTTGACTTTGAAAATCATGAATATTATCACATTGATTTATTGAATGTTAAAAAATAATGATGTTCTTAAATATATTGTACAATTATAAAATAATGTATTGTTAAAAATACTTTACTATCATTTTAGTTAATAATTGAAAATCAAACACTTCCTCACTTATAAAATTTCAAAACGAACTTTCAAGACAGAAAAAAACTCTCATCTTTCATCTGCTTGAATCTCAACATCTCAAAAAAGTTTAAACGTTGAAGCCGAAATTTTTTTCATATCAATTTATTCAAATCGATAAGTATATTTACTTATGTTTAATTTCTTTTTCAGTAAATTAGTATACGTTTCAATAGAGAAAATTTACTTCGACATAGTAATAATTAGTATAAATTTTTTTTAACAGATTTTACGTATCAAAAAAAATTGTACAGATCTATAATTTTTTTCTTTAGAACCGTAGAACAAAAAAATTGATGCGAAAAGCAGAAAAACAGTTGGCTTTTTGGCTGTTAACAGTCGACTGTCTCTGTTGACAGCCGACTGTTGGCACTGATTTTTGTTGGCGATGTATTATTTTTTCTTATAATTAATAAATGAAGTTGATTAAATCAATTTTCTCATGCAAATATGATAATCCCCGCCTATTATTTCAATGATTTCGAATTGAATGAAAATAATCGGTAGGAATGGAGATGGACGAGTGACATACGTGGTTGTATTGCAATTCCCATAACAGAGAGTACACCATACTTAGAAATGTACCACGATTTGCAAAATAAGTTGAATGTCGATCAATCTCAATACGATATGCAATAGAGATATCTATTCAACGGTTATGGGGATTCATTCATTCCGATGCCATCGGTATTCATTACTAATGATGTTGAATTGAATTATCTATTAGAATTGAATAAAATGCTTCGGACTCCGACTGTTTTTTGTGTGACTTTAATTACGAAGGATGTTATCGAAAGTGAACGCGAAGATTCAGATAGGGCGGATAACAATGATCGAAGTTTTTGGGAGACAGTGGAGATAGTTTCTGCAGATGATGTGGTTATTCCTGAGACAATTGTTTCTGATCGTGATGTCGCTGTTACGCGCAGAATTTCGTCGACGGTTGAAAACAATGAGAATATAAATGAGTTTACAAATGAGAATTTGATTACTTTATCTCGACAGAGACATGAGCCGGGTGAGAGCTCATAGGTTGGAACAAGTGGACCGTCCTCCAATTCTTCCCGTGTGGCTCCCGATTATGAGGACTTGTATGTCGAGCAACTATTTGAAACCAAGAAAGATTTGCAGGAAGCTGTGCACCGGCTAGCATTAAAATATAACTTTGAGTTCGAGGTAAAAAAATCAAACAAATCATTGTTGACAGTTGTCTGTGTTGAAGGCAATTGCAATTGGCGCTTGAGAGCAACTAAGATGGACACGAATGAGTGCTTCGTAATTCACAAGTATTCACGGGAACATACTTGCGAAGTAGGAATTCTTCGAAACGATCACAGGCAAGCTCGAGCGTAGTTTATTGGTCGATAGATAATGCACAAATATCAGGACCCACGGACGATCTACAGACCTTTTGATATCATTAACGACGTCCGTCAAGAGTATGGAGTGGTCATGAGCTACTAGAAAGCCTGGAAGGCTAAAGAATGTGCTTTGGAGGATTTAATGAAATCGGCTGAGGAGAGCTATACTAAATTGGTCAGGTATTACCATAACATGGGGAGAACTAATCCTGACACGACATTTTTTATTGAGACGGGGAGCGATAATTGTTTTAAGTATTTCTTCATGGCTTTCGGACAATATATTCGGGGGTTTCAAAATGCAATGCGACCCATAATTCTAGTTGATGGTACAACTTCGAAAGCTAAATATCAAGGCAAATTAATTATTGCTACATGTCAAGACGCCAACATCCAAATTTACCCTATTGCATTCGACATAGTCGACAGCAAGAATGATCTGTCCATGCCTTGGTTCTTTTCGAAACTGAGGGAAGTGATTGGGGAAGTCGAAAACCTTACCTTTGTAACCGATCGGGGACAGTCTATAATAAACGCTATCGCTGAAGTTTTTCCAGAGGCACATCACAGCTATTACATGTACCATATACAAGGTATTTTGAAAACTAGGTATCGGGGCAAAGACATCGTTTTATTGTTCAGGAGAGCAGTTGAAGCTTATAGTGCTGAAGAGTATAATAAGTTCATGTTTGAGATAGAAAGTAAATCATTACCGGCGTTGAAATATCTGACGAACATGATAATCGAACATTGGACGCGGTCATACTTTTCAGGACGTCGATACAACATGATGATATCGAATAACGTGGAGTCTCTCAATGCATTGTTTAAGAAGGATTGAGAGTTATCAATTCTCGCAATAATTAAGAACATTCGTAACAAGCTACAACAGTGGTTTCATGACCGACGTGCGGCATCACAGAGTTGCACTCGTGTGACCCCAGCTCAAGAGGAGAAACTTTTTAAGGCGGCAGAAGTTGCAAGGAAGTTGAATGTGAAAGCACTAGATGAGTTCCACTTCTCCGTACAATGTACACGTAATACTGCATATGGTAGACTTAACTGATAACACATGCACTTGTACGAGATTTTAGTTGGAGAGTTTTCCATGTGAGCATGCAGTTGCGGTGGCCATGTATCGAGGCTTTGTAGCAAGAACGTTATGCTCTTTGTATTATACGACTGAGTCTTGCAGCATATGCTGAGACTATATTTCCTCTGCCGAATGAAGCCGAGTGGGAAGTTCCAGAGCACATTCTCCCGTTTCATGATTTGTTGCCACCAGCAATTGAACCGCGTGGTCTTGGACATCCAAGTACATCTAGAATACCATCTACCGGAGAGTTTTCTCGACCACGTAGTTGTGGCAGGTGCAGAGCCATAGGGCATACTCGACAATTTTGTACCAGTTAAATTTTCCTAAATGACAATTAGACAGGTACGTTCAATATTTGTTCTTCATAAATATTCAATGTTCAGTATTTATTTTTGATAAACGGTATTTAGAATGATTCATATGAAAAAATTAGTTCCATTCTCAGCATATATGTAAAATAACAAAAAATCAACTTACAGAAAAATAATTATATACATTGAACACAAATTTACAATATTTCATAATAAAAAAAATTAAATTTACAACGTGAATGTTATATACATCGAACATATATTTACAATTATTTCATAATCACAAAAAATAATTAAATTTACAATTCAAATGTTACATATATTTAATACAAATTTACAGGTCACCATAAAATTTGAACAAATCACATGCTAGCTTCTTTCTCCAATTCTGTATCCACGATTGGTTGATTCCATCAACCTTATGTTATATACTTAAAAATTTAACGTATTTAATGGCAAATATGCCGCAGTCGTCGCTACAATTGAACAAGAATGGATTAGTTCAGTATTGTGTAGCTAAAAAATTAAATCTGAAAGATGAAAACAACAAAGTTCAAACACTTACCTTATGGACTGTCGTGATGTCTTCGTGTTCCGAATAATCCGTAATCTGTGATGTACAGTCATCCCCGCCTGTTTGGCCATCATAGGAACAATTATAGCTACGGACTCCTGGTTTTGCTCTAGCTGGCCTTGCATAAAAAATGAATGATCTGGGTCATACACATATATAGTCGTGTCAGTAAAAACGATCTCCAGCGTAACATAGTGCTTATTGATGCACGTTGGAATGTATATATGCGTACAACTCTCCTGTGATTTTTTCCCGACACTCGACGACAATCCTATGACCCACTCAAGCATATATTCTTGCACTGTGTACTCGTTACACATAAGTTGGAGCAACTGATACTCTATGGTAACGGCACACTGGAACTCGGTGTTTAATATTACTCGACCATGTACGTCAAATGATTTTGGATGTCTCTGAGCTCGATCTCGCAGCAGGTCCATGGCCAAACTACATCAAAAAACACCAAAAAATTATGAGTTATTCATTTAATAAATATAAAGTGACGTATACATACAAAACACAAAATGAATAGTTTACTTACATCGTTGGAGAACCAAGCTCCTGAAGTCGTGATATCGTGGAAACACTTGTAAGCGTCCGAGACCGTCGGTTACCTATCGTGCGGGTAGCTCTGAAAAAAAGGAAAATGTTAAAATAAGTATAGACGAGTTAGCGTACAGTACTTTATTAAAATCATATAATACTTACCCGGGGATAATTCTCCTCCACTCCGTTTCGAATGCTTTCCACTTGGAATTGTCCACCTCTCTGAATAAGTTCGGGTGCGTCCCATCGATGAACGTCCTCCTCTTAACCTCAGCCGTGAAAGGAGAAACAACATATTGTGACGGCACTCTCAACCTCTTGTCGACCACCTGCTCTATCTCATCAACAGCATGTCTCTTACCCTCAATCACGACGGGCGTCCTCTCGCCCTCCGGGGCCACCTCCTCCGTCGCCACCTCGGTGCCTCCCCCTCCATCGCCACCTCCTCTGCCCCTCCCATTGGGGTCTTCCCCTCCGTCGCCACCTCCTCCGTCCCTCCTATCGGTGCCTCTCCCCCCGTCGCCCCCATCGAGGCCACCCTATCCCCCTCCATAGACAACCAGAACGACTCTAATGTCTCATCATGCCAAAAATGTGGGTGACCCCCCTCTCCATCACCATCTCGCCACCCTTTCGATCATTTCCACCATCCCCCCTGTCCCCCCATTGTCTAGCGGCTAAATCTCCTCTAAGTGTCACTCCCACATCCTGAAGGTCGACAACGCAATACCGTAGCATCCAACATCATGGGATAGATCGTCAACCCTCCTTGTCAACTCTCGTCCCATATCGTCGACCCTCCCTGTCAGATAGTCGACTTTCCCCATCAGATCGTCGACCCTCCCGGTCAACTCTCGTCCCAGATCATCGACCCTCTCCGTCAACTCTCGTCGTAGCGCGCCAACCTCCTCCGCTATAAATCCAGTTAG